TGCAAGTTGACAAAAAAAATACAAAGAACAAAAGTTAGTTCGATGACCGAAGAATAAAGAAATGAAAATGACACCTCCCCCACTCTGGGATCCGGCCAATCGAACTTTTCCAAATCAGTCTCTAAAAACCCTCTCGCGAGTGACCATCAATTTCTTGGTGGAAAATTTCTTTGGAATCGGTCTGACTTTTGTTCGGTTTTCGAATAGAGTAATTAAAAATCGAACTATTCTCGAATAATAGTAGAGAATAGAAACCGGCAATAGATCAGGAATACAGTATTCTTTAACCGACGGTAAAAGTGTTTCTTATAAGTGAAGAGAACTTATTGTGAATGACCGGTGGGTGTGGCTCAATTAGTTATAAGTGCTGGATCTTTAAATTCTGACAATATAAAACCAAATTTCTCATAATAAGTGGAAGAAAGGCTTCTCGTCTAAGTATTTGTGATAGTTTACTGGCAGAGAAACGTGGCAGGATTGCCCTAGGAATCCACAGTCAAAAAGTTGACACCGCAATAGGATAAGGATTATAAATATCAAAATTATGTGAGTCCAATAAACAATTCAATCATAATAAATTCGATCACGGAAATCATTGCAAGGATAGAGATAGAAATTCTATTGATTTACTCATTGTTTTTGTGACCTAACGAAAAGTAAATAAATAAATACGTGAACTGAACTAACTTCAATTCCCTTCTTGTCTTTCCTATTGTTGAATAAACCAAAATTTACATCTATTATCAATTCTCCAAGGTAAGAATATAAAAAAAAAGCTTAGCGTCGTCCAACATTTCAATTAAACAAATTCTAGCTTTATTAAGGAAAATTAATGAAAAGTAAATAAAGTTGTTCCTCGACGCTGATAACGTCTCCGAACATAACAAACTAATCAACAATTACCACACTGGAGTGGGAAAATACTAAACCGAAAATGCTCCATCAGAATGGGAAAACGAAACTCAAAAATTCTCCATCAGAATGGGAAATTTACGCTCAAAACTCCATCGGAGTGGGAAAACAAAAATGTCTCTCTCTCTCACCCTAATTAATTGGTCACGGATAGACTTTTCCTGTCGTGAGGTTAGTTGTGTTCAGGTCTCGGTGGTGTTCCTAACGGACATCCTCACATGTTCGTTACACCCCCCTCCTTTGACTTTCCTTATCCGGGTGTGCCTTGCTCTCGATGGACCTGTGGCTGGGTCGATGATGGGGGCGTCCTTCTCTGCTCGTTCCTGGACTGTTGAGGGTACTCGAACCCATATCCTGAGGTAGTGGGTCGGAAAACAAACTCTCAAAAATATGAGAACTTAATAACGATATATTTCAGACATTGTCTCCTCTCCACTCTTATCAGGTTGAGTAGGATTTATCTTACATTATGTATACAAAAATATAAAAGTTTCTCTGGAGTGACGGGTTATTCCCGTACTCGCTCTCCACCGTACCTGACGGGGGTAATCTTAAAAAAGAAATACTAAATATTGGTGAGTATTATCACAGAGCCAAACAAAAAAAAAGAAACAAAACGATTTCGGGCCCTGAAGCTGGCCCGTCGAGAAAAATAATTTAAAAATGATATAAACGAAAAGAAATGAGTCTGGTGTCTTTGGGAGGACTTCTTTGGCTGTCTGCCGTCCTAGTATAACAACAACAACAAAAACTATTTTGGCTTCTATCGTGCCATTTTAAGAAAAAAAAAACAGAACTTCGACTCTTCTTGGCCTTTGTGTCATGGGACTTCAGGTTTCTTGAACGGCAACTGACTCAGTGGAAGACTACAGTCGTCGATTACCACCGCTTAAGAGCGGGGAGGATACCTGGTGCCCCAGGCTCTGGCAGGGGGTTCTCCTGAAGGCAGGGGAGGCTTCTGTGCTGGTGCCTGTTGGGCGGCTGCCTGTTGCTGCAGACTAACGAGCTGCTGGAAGAGGGGCATCATCTCCGATGTGACGGCCGGCATAGTCTGGCTCGGTGTTGGAGGCAGCGGGGCAGCCGTTGGTGGTGGTAGATTCGCTCACCAAAGAAGGAACCTTGGGACTTTCCACCACCGGAAGAGTTTCCTTCGGGGGGGCTCTGATTGTCCTTTGGAGGGGATTTCTATGGAATCTTGACCGTCGGAGGAGGGCTCGTTCGGGGAATTACCACCCTTGCGGGGGAAACAACATGCCTGAATCTGGGATGCTGGTCTACCGTTTTTACGGCGAAGTCTCATCGTATCCGTATGACGGAAATTAAGGGGGAAATCATGGAATTATTCTGGGGGCATCCTCAGGCAGGACGAGTATGAGAACCCTCAAGGCTCGTCCTGTCGAATACGATACGGCTTTAAATCCTGGATGGAGTGTTTTCCGTGATTTTTACCGGAAAAATCCACGAGTCGATACCGGACTCGGGAGACCTTCTTCTGAATGACGAAGGGACCCTCGACGGAGTATCTCCAGCCTCTTCATCCGATTCACCCAGTCCTCGGGTTCGCCAGGGGCAATTTCAACATCTCCTTCTAGCTCACGCCAAAGGGAAACTGCAGCAGGAGGTTTCCTACCGAAATTCGCAAACGCTGGACTCGTTTAGATGGAACTGTGTTCGGCCATATTAAAGGCGAAGCGAAATTCATGTAGATGTGCATCTCCCGTTCTATGGTCACCTTCCATGAAGGCTAGTAGCATCATCTTGAGAACCCGATTAACCCTCTCCACAGGATTTGCCTGGGGATGATACGGAGAAGTCTCATGCTTTAACCCCGTTTGAACGGAGAGAGCCTGGATCTCCCGATTAATGAACGCTGTGCCGTTATCGGTGAAAAGCACGCGGGGTGTTTCCCAGCGCGAGATAATGACATTTTCCACCTGCTCCTTGATTGCTTTGCAAGTGGTGCGGCGGAGGGGGATCAATTCTACCCATTTGGTGAACAGATCTTGCAACACAAGCACGTAGGAATATCCTGACTTGCTTGGAGTAATGGAGCCGACTATGTCAGTGGCCACGGTCGTCCAAGAACCTTGGATGACTCGCCTGCCCATGTGACCTCGAGGCAAAGCGCTCTCCACTTTGCATCGTTGACATACGTCACAATGGCTGACGAAAGACACCACGTCTCTAAACATATTCGGCCAGTAATATGCGGTATATAGACGGCGATACGTTTTGTCGACACCCAAGTGGCCTGCTTGGGGAAGATCATGACACTGGGAAATAGCTTGCGGACATAACTCCCGCGAAAGTACGAGCTTCCACGCGTCGAGGTCAACCATCTCTAACGTGACAAAGTCAGAGGGTCGATGAGTGTACAACCGACCATCCACGATCCTCCAGTCGGGGAAGAAGTCGGGAGCGGGCTGGACATTCTGGTACTTGCGCGAATACCACTTGTCGGTGGAAACAGTGGCAACTTCGATAGTCTCGAAATCCTCCCTTTCACCCTCGGGTGCGCGGGATAACGCATCAGGGATATACCACTTTATGCATGACATAAAGTAGTATTGGTAAAGCTAACCGTGAGACTGCTTAACTCAGCAAACTGGGGGTTTTGACGATTTTCGAGGACTCTGAAAGAAGCAGATTATGATCAGGAACTATACAGAGCGGATCTCTGAGCTCAGACCTTCTGCTATACAATAAGAGAAACGAGTCAAAGTCCCGGTCAAGTCGGAAAAAATAGCAACGCGTTATACCAACCCATTAATCATTATCGTGTATTGCCATCGTTTATTTAATATATGAGTAGCTTTACCTCATATTTGCGCGAGTGATTAATAATAACACCTTAACCCTTCATATCCTTCATAACATCCCTCCGAGTGAGCGAATCCCCCGTGAGCTGACCGCCGAAGCTAGTCGACGTCGGAGTGACAACCAAACAACACAAATGATTACAGTACACAGTGCAAAAGGACTTCCATTGCGTTTTACCTTCAGGTAAAACACTCTAAGCGTCACAATTATATATATATATATATATATATATATATATATATATATATATATATATAATTGTACCGTATATATATAATATATATATTTTTCAAAAAAATTGAAAAATAAAATAAAAAAGCTAAGCTATGCGGCAAAAAATGGTGACAATTTTCGTTACGCATGGATTTTTTTAAAAGGGAAAATACTCGTCATGATGACACCTATTTACTAAAAAATACCATCCCACCCTGAGGAATGTAGTTTTATTCTCTTTTTTCCATTTTGTTTGTTGGAATTGCTTGTGCACATAATAACTTGAAGAATAATTTGTTAAAAAATTGGAACTTGGTAGGATTTTAGGTCTTATCGTAATAGAGTTTGGGATTTTGGATGAGCGAAATCGGACCAGTAGTTTCAGAGATATTCAATTTTGTATGTGAAATCCTTTACTCAATATCTTTCTTTCTTTCTTCCTTTATTGACAAGATTCCAAATAAAAACTAGAGTAAACTGATATCACTGACTTGAACCCTAATTATCATTTTTAAGCTCACATGAGGTGAAAAAAAAAAGTGTCTGAATTTCGCTCTATCTTCATTTTTTCCTATCATTCCATTTTGCCCCACCCTCCCCTATGTGTTTTCTTCCCTCTCAGCTATCATCATGTACGATCGTCTCTTTCTTGTAAACGTGTCACTCCTTTTCATATTTCTTCTCATTATTTCTTTCGCCTCAAATCACCTCAATGAAATTAGTATTAATTAAAGTGACTGATTTTATGTTATGTAAAGCTCATATGTCACCCGGTTTATCGAACTTCCTCCTAATCACCCCATAACATGAGATGTATCGCTTTAAAAATTACATGATCGATCCAGGTAACAATCATTCTACTAACGCATCCGGAGATCTTCTTAAAAAAAAAGTAATTACAAGATCACTGTGCAAAGGCTATGAGTCCGTTCCTCAAAGAAACGCTCACACAGATTTTTCAAATTATTCTTATAATAATTAATCCAGATAGTAGAAGAAACTCTGAAGAATATATACTGCATTCTAATTTTCTTGTTTTGGGTAAATTTTTCCAGGAGGCATATAGAAAATGGGTGTGCAGCTCTCTGGTGCCTTATTTTGCTCATGAGGGACCGTCGATCCCATTGAATTCAGGGGAAGTATACGTTGGCACGAGATTGAGACCCTGTCGGTCTTTCTGCCAATCTGTTGAACAACGTTGTCCTTACCTACTTCCGGGTGATCGTGCGCCTGCATATCCAACGCAATACGCCGGTGAACCAACTTTTCTTTGCAGAGGTAAGTTGATTCAATTTTTATTAACAGGGAGGTCTGTATTCTTATCTGATTTTATCGCTACTCTCCTCTTTATACTGCAAGTTATTCTGTTCGCATTTTCTACTGAGCCTACTAAGAGAGAAGGTTATCCTCGGATGAAAAACGCCTTTACTTACGGTTGACTTTGCTTGAAGGGGAAAAATTTAATAGTTCTCAACAGTCGACAGACGATGTATTCAAACGTTTAAATTCGGGTCAAATGAATTATCTGTTATAGTTGGCATATCATTCATTTCATTCATTCATTCATTATACTGCATATAAAATACATAGCTCCATCCCAGGGGGATACAAAGTATGTAAAATATGTATTGATACAGAGAATATAAATTTTTCACAACCGACTGTAATGGTTAGGTGGGCGAGGTGTTGCTCCAGCGGACATCCAAGCTAAGCAGGGTTGAGCTGGGTTAGTACTTGGATGGGTGACCGCTTAGGAACACCTCGCTCGCACAAAAATTACTGGCGGAGTAGGCACGGTGTAGCGGCCTAGTGTCTCCATCTAGTCAGTGTGACAGATGGATACATTAGGGCACTGCACAATCGGCCGGCTGTGCGACTGGGGTTTTATATGGTTTCCCGTGCAGTCCTAGCTCGAATGGGGCACAGCTAAGAATAAGACGACCATGATACCGCAGATAACAATGAGAGGAAAAGTAAAGGAGGGGAGGCAGGCTAGAGGAGGGGTTTCAAATCGAGAACTACTTCGATAAAACCAATGAAATAGAAAAATAAAAAAAATTTAAAAAAATTTCACAATTGGAAGAACAGTGTGAGATAAATTAAAGTGTGAGTAAAAATACAAAAGTGTATCAAGAGAATGCACAACGAGGTGTAACTGGTTTTTATTTGTAGGGCATTAGTAAAAAGCCATAAAACAGACCTGCCAATTAAGCACAAAAACTAAAAGATTTCTGAATAGAACGAATTGTGGCGTTTAGTACATCAATATTACATCGGGCAGATAAGCAGTTTAAAGTGAATTTATAAATTCCTTTCAACTCGGTAAAACTGGCATTAAAAATTATGTTACTCATGGATCGATTAGAGAGATGAGGAAAGCTATTATAAAGAGTAATACGCATAGCGGCAGTGATTGGAAAATGAAGAAAGAAGTGTTCAAGAGAACCTGGTTGATCAAGTTTACAGTAATTGCAAGCACTATTCAGCCTGAAAGACACTTTCTCTTTAGAGATATAAAAATAACAACTAAAGTTGTTCGCAAGCTTAAGTTGGGCTATAACTCGCTTCAATTGTAAGCTATGATTGTTGGTGAGATAGTTAGATTTCCAGATAGGATTTAAGGTATGAAAGGGTGGAATGAACTGGCATGAGGACGAGCATTGCCATCTCTCCAGGTCCTCACCCCTGAGCTGATTTTCATAATTGTTAAAAATTCGAATAGTAGATGCCGTTAAAGAGCGAAGCTCTAAGTTATTCCAAAGATCTGCATGATCAGTGACATTCAGAAAGCTTTTGATTTGTGAGGCCCAATTGTAAGACTCATCACAGTTAGGAACTCGACTTAGTTCTAGTAATCGATTAAAGCAGATTCTATGGAGGTAGGAGTTGGCCTGCTTCAAGATCTTTCGGAGCCAATCCCATGTTAGCTGCATGACTCTGTATTTAACATGGATCAAGTTTGTCTCCAGTCTAAGCGTCCATCCAGGAGTACATCTGGGCAGATTAAGAGTACGCTTAAAGAAGTCCAATTGGGCTCTTTCTAAATCTTCGCTATGTAGGAGACCCCAGGCGGGGATAGTATAGAGAAGAGTGGAACTAACTAGAGAATTATACAGGGTAGCAAAAGTTCTCCAGGAAATGACATTCAGAGACGTCGTGAGTCTCCTGAGAGCAGCTACAGTTGCCATCTTTGCTTTGGCAATCGCATGTCTAGCTGCCTCATTTCCAAGTCCATTCCATGAGAGGGGAATACCTAGATAGAGATAAGTCTTGACCACCCCGTGCTCAGAGCCCTTATACAATTTGAATTTGCAATAGTTCCCATATCATTTATAAAAGAAACGTTTTCTTGTTTACTTGGCTAATTCCTGATGGATTGAATATGTGTACGTTGTTCAAATGTCATAATCTTCCATAGTTGATCAACTTTGTATACTGGCTTAATACACTGGTAATGATTCAGTATTGAAAAGACAGAATGTCAGTCAATATATTCTATTTACAAAAGAAACTTCTGAAAATTTTTCATACAAGATTCCCAAGTGCCAGAAAACAAGAGGGAAAAACGGGAGCGCGTAGGGGTGTGAAATATTGTCTGTTTCAGGGACTGGTCCGCTGAGAATTCGGTCAGCTGATATTTGGTTGATACATTCAAAGTTGATCGACCATTTTTTTTACCGCCTTACATATATTCTAATGTCCGGTAGAATCATCAACGATGCGTTGATGAGTTATGACGTTTGACAGCTTTGACCGTTCAACATGTACTTTCAAATTTTTTTCGCAATTGCAAAGAGAGACAAGAGAGTGTGGTCGGAAAAAAAACTTACCTTTGAGATAATAATGGCGCAGGCTATTATTCACTGGATTTTAACTCAAGATTTGAAAATGACCAAGAGACAGTAAGAGCTACTGAAGCAGCATCCTCAGTTATCACGTCAGACGCTTGCACTGAATGAAAGTCAGGTCCATCAGACTACCTCAAATGATCGTACCCATCCTAAGTATTCGTTGGCTAAGCAGGAGCCACCATTTCATCAGTTAGTACGAAATTCGGTTGGTCTTGAGTGTATACTTTTGCTGGCTTTGGCTTGAGATTGGTAAAGTGGATTGATTACAAGAAGAAACAAATGGAAAATGTCCTTCGTCAGGAGAAATCCATAGGAGTCAATATATTTTTGTTGATGAATTATCAATTGGCTTCTAAATGGAATTGCTATAACGATGGATTTTAAATTGAATTCAATGGTCTATTGACTTTAATTTATTGCCATTGCCCCAACGGTGGTAGCCAACAGTCTATCAACGTTGGAACAGGAAATGTGGGATCATACCCCACTTGTGTTCGAGCCCGCGTGCCTCCGAATTTTTTAATTTGTGCATTGATAATTATTCAATTATTTCCCTCGTATAGAGGTCCAGAAAGTCGATGGATAGCATATAGCATCCCGCTTTCCATGGAATTTATGCCTTAAAAACATCTAAGGTTGACCGAGTAGAATAGCCCAGGTGATAATATAGATGTTGGCACTCAACATTCTCCCAACGATGGCAGCCAACATTGTCCCAATGTTGCCAACTGCAATAGTCCCTAAACTGATAGCCAATATTGCCCTAAGGTTGGTATTACACCGACATTGCTCCGAAAACATTGGTGTGAAAATAATTTATTTTTAACAATAGATGCAATTTACAATTGTTGATATGCAACAGGGCCTAAGTGGTTTTCAGCAATTTTAGGGTAGTTACAGTTCAAGAAGAATTTCTCAAAGTCTGAATTATCCCACCGTTACGACTCTCAGGAAAGCCCCCCATGAGGAAATTTCTTTATTCTTCTAAGGTAATTAAAAAACTTATTTTCATACATGAACTGTCGATAGTCACTGAAATATAACTATACTGGAAGGTGAACTGAGCTCTCGATTCTGTGCAAGAGAGAAAGAAATTCGGGAGATCAGCTGTCCTTGTCGTACAGTTCGTTCAAGAAATATCGATAACCACTAAGTGGAGTAGGGCTACATATTGAGAACATGTTAAGACGAATAATGCGCATGTTAAGTGTTACAACGCAATTTCTCCATCCCACTAAATGTTGCTTTATCTTTATAAAGAGAAATTCTGAGAGGAAAGGTCAAAAGACTGTTCTTGTCAGAAATTCAGCCAGCCACAAAAAAGATTTCATATTTTTTTCTAGAATTAATCATTTCCTAGATAAATGAACATTTCAGTCCATGTGATTGATCATGTTTTAACAATCCATAAACATTTAAACGTAATAAAACAGAATTGTTTTGGTTAACTTCTGTCGATGAGTCGCTCTCGAGCCTAAAACTTGTAGTGTTTGGGTTTTAGCGTAACTTCTCAATCGCATTTTGATGTAATCAGCAGTAATTGTTTTTATAATTTTGATCAAAATGAGGTTCTCAACACCGATGCAATATCTGTAGTACAGGATGGGAAGACGGAAATAAGTTTAATATGATTGGTAAAAAATGCATGAATTATCTCCTCAATTATCCGGATTTATTTTTTTCACAGTTCATGCCTCATAATTAATTTTTTTATGCGTGCTAACTGTTGGACGATTATTACCAAGAGTTTTACCAAACCGGGCCAACCACTGCGGGTACGCAGACGGTTAAACTTTCTAGTTAGATGATTCATCACGTGGGTTATCCCTTAGAACCCATGCGCAGAGGAATAGAAAAGGACAGGTGGCCTCACCTAATAGGCTACCTCACAAAATCGTTCCTCTCACCCGTTCAGCCCGGCAGTACACCTTCCAGTATAGTTATATTTCAATGTCGACAGTGATCTTTACTTGCGGGCGAAAGGATCCCGTTGGCTCCTGCAAGCAGAGGAACACACTTGGTAACAACTCTCTGGACCAGGGGGGTGCAACTTTGGGTTTGGCGTGACTAGATATATGTCGCTTCTCCGTGTGGTGGGGCGTCGAGCAGCAGCTCTGATAGGAGGCGGGGCTACAGTAAATTCGGCGAGCTTCGCGAGACTTTTAGATATAAATGCAATGTTTTTTTATTTTAAAAAAATGGAAAGATTAATAGTACGGGGAAAACAATAAGGCTTAATTGGAGTATCGAAAAAGATTTTTTAATGAGAACTATTAGAAGCACATTATGCGAAATAGATATAATTATAATGATTCTTTTATGTACACAGAAGCAAAAATATGAATCGAGTTTTACAAAATTTAGCAACTTTCTTCTCAACTTGATGAGATTTGTCCTGTTCATCCCTGATACGATTGGAGTATCGTA